CCTGGAGGAGCAGCTGGAGGCCGTGGGCAGCGGGGCCGACCTCCGCAGCGTCAGCCGCCAGCTCAAGAGGCTGCAGGTGAGGCCTTGGGGGGACCTCGGGGACACCAGGCCTTGAGGGGACCTGAGGGCCTTGAGGGGACGCCAGGCCTTGGGGGGGACACCAGGCCCTGGGGGGACCTGAGGGACACCAGGCCCTGAGGGGACACCAGGCCTTGAGGGGACACCAGGCCTTGGGGGGACACCAGGCCTTGGGGGGGACACCAGGCCTTGAGGGGACACCAGGCCCTGGGGGGACACCAGACCGTGAAGGGAGACCAGGCCTTGGGGGGACCTGAGGGACACCGGGCCTTGAGGGGACACCAGGCCTTGGGGGGACATTGGGTGCTGGGACCCCTGGAGGAGCAGCTGGAGACCATGGGCAACGTCAGCCGCCAGCTCAAGAGGCTGCAGGTGAGGCCTTGGGGGCACCTCGGGGACATTGGGGGGACATTGGGGGGCACCAGGCCTTGAGGGGACCTGAGGGACACCAGGCCTTGGGGGGGACACCAGGGTTTGGGGGGGACACCAGGCCCTGAGGGGACACCAGGCCCTGGGGGGACATCAGGCCTTGAGGGGACCTGAGGGACACCAGGCCTTGAGGGGACACCATGGTTTGGGGGGGGACACCAGGCCTTGGGGTGACCTGAGGGACACCAGGCCATGAGGGGACACCAGGCCCTGGGGGGACACCAGGCCCTGGGGGGACATTGGGTGCTGGGGGGACATTGGGTGCTGGGACCCCTGGAGGAGCAGCTGGAGACCATGGGCAGGTGAGGCCTTGGGGACACCTCGGGGACACTGGGGGGGACATTGGGGTACACCAGGCCCTGGGGGGACACCAGGCCTTGAGGGGACACCAGGCCATGAGGGGACGCCAGGCCGTGAGGGGACACCAGGCCTTGAAGGGACACCAGGCCATGAGGGGACACCAGGCCCTGAGGGGACACCAGGCCCTGGGGGGACACCAGGCCATGAGGGGACACCACGTTATGGTGAACACCAAATTATGGAACCCCAACATTTTTTTGGGACAACGCTCCGCGTTGGTTACTGGACGTCCCCCGCTTGCCACCGTGGCCACCTTCCCCACACCACGGCGTGTCCCCAGAGCATGGAGTCGCAGGTGGAGGAGTGGTACAAGGAGGTGGGCGAGCTGCAGGCGCAGGCGGCGGCGCTGCCGGCGCAGGCGGCCGGGCGGGACGCGGTGGGCGAGCGGCAGAGCGCGGTGGGCACGCGCATCGTGCGCCTCATCGAGCCCCTCAAGGAGCGCAGGAGGATCCTGCTGGCCTCCAAGGAGGTGCATCAGGTCAGCCATGAGCTGGAGGATGAGGTGGTGAGTACCTGGGGTGGGGTGGGGTGGGTGGGGATGAGGATGAGGATGAGGATGAGGATGAGGATGAGGATGGGG